GGAAAAACATGGCATCAGGATTGGAAGAAGACTTATTAACAACCTATGATATGCAGATGATACAACCTTGCTTGCTGAAAGTAAAGAGAACTTAAAATACTTACTGATGAAGTGCAAAAACCACAGCCTTCAGTATAGGTTGCACCTCAATGTAAAGAAAACCAAAATTCTCACCACCGGACAAATAAACAACATCCATATAAAAGGAGAAAAGATTGAAGTTGTCAAAGATTTCATTTTGCTTGGATCAACCACCAACACTGGAAGCAGCAGGCAAGAAATCAAACGACATCTTGTATTATGCAAATCTGCTGCAGAAGACCTTTTCAAAGTGTTGAAGAGCAAAGATGTCAGTTTGAGGACTAAGGTGTGCTGATCGAAGCCATGATATTTTCAGTAACCTAAAAAGCATGCAAAAGTTGGACAGTGAATAAGGGAGAGCATACAATAATTGATGCATTTGTCTTGAGATGCTGGAGGAGAATATTGAAAGTTACCATGGGCTGCCATGTTGGAAGAAGTACAGCCAGACTGTACCTTGGAAGCCAGGATGGCCAGACTTCGTCTCTCATACTTCGGACATATTATCAAGAGGGACCAGTCCCTGGAGAAGGATATCATGTTTAGTCAAGTGGAGGGTGGGAGAAAAAGAGTAAAACCCCCAATGACATGGATTGGCTCAGTGGCAGCATCAATAGGCTCACACGTAGCAACGATTGGTCCAGGTCTGGGCAGTGTTTGGTAATGTTGTGCATAAAATCGCTGTGAGTCGGTACTGACTCGATGGCACCAAAAAAACAACTAATTACCTATGGTATTCAGTACTGGGAGACTTGCATGCTACATGCAACCGCTCAAATTCATGTTAAGTTCATTCTTTTGTGTGTAAAGGTAAGGTGTAGATCGACTCCGGACTCCCAATTCAGTGCTCCTTCCTTAGGAACATCTTCTCTTTTTTCAGGTCTGTGTTTACAACAAGATTTGAAAAAGTAGCGCGGCCTTCGTTTTAGGTGCATTTTCATTTTAGGAAAATACGGAAACCCGAAAGCAAATTGTCCTCGAAGGCTCAGGCTTCCAATTTTCACCTCGACTCAACTACCTCTCCCAAAACGAGCGTCTCGCTTCTAATTTGGCCCTTAAGGCTTTCCATTTGTTTTGCCTCAGAGCGCATGCGCAGAACCCCCGTCAACTTTCATTTTTCAGGAGCGCTGGTCTTACAATGGCGGCTCGCGGTGTGGGACTGTTGACCCGTGTGCCCCTATGTGCCCAGGGACGAGGTCAAGTCCAGCGTCCTATTCACCGACTTCTCAGTTGTCCAGGAACTGTGGCCGCCGACCTCAGGAGGGAAGAGCAGACATCGGGGAATGTGGAGACAGGTGATGTTGCCTTGCCCTCGGTTTGCTTCGCCTGTTTGAACCCGGGGCTATAGAGGGAAGGGGCCGAGAGATTGGGATCGCGGGCAAGCGCGTGGAAACGGCCTTGGAACCTTGGCAGAAGGGCGAGGCTGTGCCCTGGGACGCTTAGGCCTCTGTAGTTGCTGATGGTATAGAAGAGGTGGGATTTGGGTCTATTTTAACCCCCCCAGACTGCTCTTGTACCACAGGAATAAAATCCTTTTGAACCTTTGAAATGCAGTTTGTTCGTAATTTACAAACTTGACAAAACAGTATCTCCATTATATTGGTCAATGACTATATCGCTAATAAAAGTAGCTGTGCCGTCGAGTCGGTTCCGACCCATAGCGACTCCGTCTAGGGTTTCCGAGGAGCAGCTGGTGAGCTCGAACCACCGACTTTGCAGTTCAGATGTCTTTGCAGTCTGGAGCATTAACCTACAGCGCCAAAATCGAGCATAAATGGAAAAGTTGATGAATATTCAGGCTTCGTGACTCCCGATTGTATGACTATTTATGCAATTTACCTTATGCCTTTGGCCATTTTGAGCAAAAATCAACTTGATGACAGATTTGCATCCACTCTTAACAGGCTGTTATCCCCCCAGATACTCTGAATTTATGTTTTATTGAGATAAAGCCTTACTATTGGAATTACCCTAAGATGGTTGAACTTTATAGAGTGTTATGTTACTTACAATTCTTGCAACAATCTTGTATGAAATCCGTCACTGTTTGCACTTTCCAGATGTAGAATGAGGCCCAGAGACCTAAATAACTTGTGCACGGTTGCAAGGTTCAGTAGTTTTTACTTCCAGTCCAGACCCCAAATAAAAGGTGCCTATTTCTGCTCTGTCTTGGGACTGTACCAGCTGCTCCGAGGGAGACAGATGAGGCTGCCTGCTTCTGTGAAGACTGTCAGTTACAGGAGCCCCGTGGAGAGATTCTACTTTGCCCTGTAGGGTCACTATGAGTTTGAATTGACTTGATGACGTTGGGTTTGGTTTTGGCTTTGGTTTTCTAAACTGAAGAGATGATGTTACTTCTGGGCAACAGTTCTGAAGTTTTTTCTTATGCTGTTTTAGGGTAGCTGTCATCCAGGCAGTTCAGACTCATAGTGACCCTACACACAAAAGAAGGAAGTTCTGCCCAGTCCTGAGCCAGCCCCTCAGTTTTTAGGTTTGGACCCATAGCTGCTGCCACTCCCATGGCCTTGGGGTCTTCTTTCTCACTCACCCTTCTATTTACCAATCATGATGTCTTTCTCCAGGAGATTGGTCCTTCCTGAAAACGTGTCTGCAGTATAAGAGACAAAGTCTCACAATCCTAGCTTTTAAGGAGCAGTCTGGAGGTAGGTCCTCCAAGACAGATGTGTTTGTTCTTCTGACAACTCATGACACTTTAAATATTCTTTGCCATCAACGCAATTCAAAGACATCAATTCTTCTATGGTCTTCCCTTTTCACTGTCTAAATTTTACATGATATGAGGTAGTTGAAAATACCATGGCTAGGGTCAGTCACATGTTAGTTCTCAAAGTGACAGCTTTGCTCTTGAACACTTTATTAAAGAAATTTTTTTGCTGCAGATTTGCCTAATGTAATTATACATCGTTTGATTTCTTGACTGCTTCTTTCATGAGAGTTTGATTGTGGATTCAGCTAAAATCAAGTCTTCGACAATTTCAACCTTTTCTCCATTTTTATCATGATGTAATTTATTGGTACAGTTGTGAGGAATTTTATTTTCTTTATATTGAGGCATAATACTGAAGGTTGTAGTCTTTGATCTTCATCGGGAAGTGCTCCAAGTCTTCATCACTTCCAGCAAGCAAGGTCATGTCATCTGCGTATTGCAGGTTGTTAATGAATCTTCCTCCAGTGCTGATGATACGTTCTTCATGTAATCCAGCTTCTCATATTATTTGCTCAGCATACTGATTGAACAGGTATGGTGAAAAGAAACAACCCTGGTATACACCTTTCCTGGTTGTAAAATATTCAGTATCCCCTTGTTATGTCTGAACAACTGCCTCTTGGTCTGTGTACATGTTGTATGAGTACAATGAAGTGTTCTGGAATTACCATTCTTCATAATGTTACCCATAGTATGTTATAATCCATACAGTTGAATGCCTTTGCATAGTCAGTAAAGCACAAGTAAACATCTTTCTGGAATTCACTGCTTTCAGACAAGATCCATCTCATGTCAGCAGTAATATCCTTATTTCCACATCCTTTTATGAATCCAGTTTCTGCCAGATCAGAGACCACAGCCTTCAGTATGGATTGCACTTAAATGTAAAGAAAACAAAGAGTCCTCACTAGTAGACCAATAAATGAAGTCCTAGTGTGGTGCTGTGGGTTAATGCCCTGGACTGCAAAGTTGGCTTGAGCTGCAAGGTCAGTGGTTCAAGCTCATCAGCCGCTCTTTGGAAACCCTATACAGGGTTGCTTTGGCTTGGAACCAACTCAACGGCACTTAACAACAACAGCAACAGAGCAATAAATCACATCAGGATAAATGGAGAAAAGATTGAAGTTGTCAAAAGACTTCATTCTGTTTGGATCCGCTATCAGCACTAATGGAAGCAGCAATCAAGAAATCAAATAACGTATTGCATTAGGCAGATCTACTGCAAAAGACCCTTAAAAGTGTTCAAGAGCAGAGCTGTCAGTTTGAGGACTAAGATGCACCTGACCCAAGCCATGGTATTTTTAATAGCCTCATACACATTTGGAGTCTTGGTGTGGTGCTATAGAATAAGCACTGAACTGCTAATCAAAAGGTTGACCATTTGAATGTACCAGTTGCCCCTTAGAAACTCGATACAGGGTCACTGTGAGTCAACTGACTTGACAGCACTTAACAACAACATACACATATAAAAATTGGACAGTGAATACGGAAGACCATAGAAGAATTGATGCGTTTGAGTTACAGTGTTGGAAAAGAATATTAAAAGTATTGTGGACTGCCAAAAGATCAAAATCTGTTGGAAGAAGTGCAGCCAGGATGCTCCTTGGAAGCCAGGATGGCCAAACGTCATCTCTCATACTTTGGACATATTATCAGGAGGGACCAGTCTCTGAAGACGGGCATTGCGCTACATAACGTGGTTGGCCAGCAAAAAAAAGGAAGGACCGCCCCAGTGGGCTCAAGTGTAGCATTGATTGTGAGGTGCGGGACTGAGTAGTGTTTTGATCTGTTGGGCATAAGGTCACCATGAGTTGGAACTGACTCTACAGTGTCTAACAACAACAATATAGCACCCAGGACAGTTGATAACTCATTTATTGTTTGCTCTAGGTCAAGATTTCTGGAAAACAGAAACTTCTGTAGTAAATTACTCTAATACCTTAAACTTCTAAGCTCAATATATAAGGAGCTCTGGTAGCGTAGTGGTTATGAATTGGGCTGTGAACCGCAAGGTCAGCAGTTCGAAACTACCAGCTGTTCCACGGGAGAAAGATGAGACTTTTTGCTCCCGTAAAGATTAACAGCCTCAGAAACCCTGTACAGGGTTGCTATGAGTCGGAACCAACTCCACGGCACATAACAACAACAACAACAACAACAACAACAAGCTCATTATGTGATTACAGTCAGGTTTGTAATCATTTCTTTCAAGCTTTGGAATGTTGCAACTTGCAGTTTGTGTTTGTAAGTGTTAAATGAGTATCTTTGTTTTCTGACTTAACTTTTGAAAGTTTGGCGGAACTCTGTTTTTAGCACTCTACATATCTGTAATAAGTCAAAAAAGAAAATGGAAGTTTTTAGTACAGGAGAATGGTAAAATGAAAACTAAGTAGTGTAGCTTTTCCCTTGTAAAGGAAAAGAAGAAAGAAGCTAAAATTAGAGTGTGGTTGGTTTTAGTCAAATACAAAGTCTTTGCATATGCTGTCCAAATATGCCTTAATGTGTGTGTGTGATAAAAGTGTTTTTGTTTCATTATTAGGCTCTGCAGACAGGCTTGTCCAGAAGAGATTCTCTGAGGTGCAAAAAGAAAGACGAGAACAGGCACAACGGACTGTTTTGATAAATTGTCCAAATAAAATCAGTGAAAAAAAGTTTCTCAAATATTTATCCCAACATGGCCCTATTAATAATCATTTCTTCTATGAAAGCTTTGTAAGTATTTGAAAAACAATCTAACTTAGCATTCATGATTTTTGTTTGAAGTTTTACATCTGTACTTATTTCTGTTTTTAAAGAAATGAAAATAAAAGTAAGTTTCTTTATTGAGTTAGTTTGGACACGAGACTAGAAATCCTTGCAGAGTCGTTGTTGTTAAGTGCCATTGAGTAGGTTTCTACTCATAGAGACCCTGGATAGGGTTTCTGAGGCTTTAAGTCTTCACAGCAGCAGAAAGCCGTACCTTTCTCCTGTTGAGCAGCTGCTAGGCTTGAACTGCGGACCTTGTAGTTCACAGTCCAGAGCTGCTTGTGTGGCGCCACCACACTCCCCTTGGAGCAGTGCTACTGACTTATAGATTATAACGGAATGATTCTAGTATTTGAAGACGTTACATAGTCCCATTGTCTCAGGAGTGATGGGGATTTTTCTTTTGCCTTCTGTTTTAATTTTCTGTTTCAGTGTTCTTTTCACTTTCTCTTGACTAATTGGTTTATAGTATTTTTTTCTTAATTTACCAAATAATGATTAAAATAATTATTTGCATTTGTAAAGGGAAAAATAGGTATTAAAAAATTATGCTAATTGTTCTGAAATAGAAACTTGAATACAATCTTAGATATGTCATTGTGAAATGTGTTGTTTTTGGCCTAGGGTCTTCATGCTGTTGTAGAATTTTGCCAAAAGGAAAGTGTAGCTTCGCTGCAGGATGCCACTTATACCCCAGGCCTGGGCGCAGAGGCTGCCATCCCATTCAGATCCCGTTTCTTCAGTGTAAAGTTGAAGACTGCAGAAAATCAGCCTTCTGAGCGGTCTAATGTGTGCTGTACTAATCAGTCACCCCCTACAAGCAGGAAGATTTTTGAACTACTTTGTTACGCAGAAAGTGTAAGTTCATTGGTACCACTCTCCATGTGTGTGTATATTTGGGGATAAGTCACAGATGTTCACTGTTAAAGAGTTCCAGTTCACATATGCGTGGGTTTTCAGACAACATTTATTTAAATTTGTCTCTGGGAGCCGGGTGTGACTGCAGACAAGTTCTCTTAGTAATGCACTTGTCTTAATCTTGTTAGGGCGCCTACAAAAAGGATAAATTTTTTGTTATGGGAAAAAAAAAACGATTTTCAGGTTAAAAATATCGTATTTTTAACAAAACTAAAGTGGACATGTTCTAAATCATTGAAGCTTTGCAACAAGTTTGCAGGAATGTTGGCCCACATAAAGCCAACAGTTCTTAGATGGATCAAATGTTTTAAGGAAGACTTCAAATACAAACTCAAGGCACAGAGATGTCAGCTCAGAGGTTACAGCAACTGTGTTCTTTTTACTTCTAAAAAGATCATCTTAATTGATTTTCTAGAATGACACAGGATGATCATGAGGGCTTAGGACGAAGTTTAAGAAAACAAAAAACTGCATTGGTGAGGAAAAGGCCAGGAAAGTTGTGCAGAGGAATTTTTTCTGTCACAACAACGTACCTGCTCATGCTATAACAAGTTCATTGGACATTTATCCCCCATCCACCCTACAGCTCTGATCTTGCCTGAACTCAGAAACCTAACGATGAACACACTTCCAGTTCCTCAGGGATGTCAGAGCTCCTGTTTTGATGTCGTGTAAAATGAAGAGTAGAATTCTTCAGGGAAGGGTTAGAGCGATGGAAACACTGCCTTCAGAAGGTAGTAGAGCTAGATGGAGGAGGATCTGTTGAGAAACAACAGCTTCACATTTTGGTATTTCGGTTTAATAAAGGCTTCTCTGATTTTGTAATACTACGTTTTGACCTACTCTTGTATAAAAACAACAAGAAAAAAACACCCTCCTGCTGTTGATTTCACCTCACAGTTACTCCACGTGCTACAGAGTAGACCTCCACAGGGTTCTCTTGACACTAAGCTCTACACAAGCGGATGGTCAGGCCTTTTTTCCACAAATCTCTAACCTTTAGGCTAGCTGTGTGCTGTTGAGTCAATTCTGACTCCTAGCAACCCTGTCTAGGATTTCTAAAAGCAAGTGGTGGTTAGCATTCCAGTGCTTATCCTACAGTGCCATGCAAACTGTTTGTACCAGCAGTTCAAATCTCAGTTTCTCTGTGGGAGAAAGATGAAGCTTTTTGCTTCCATAAAGACTTGTTGTTGTTGTTAAGTGCCTTCGAGTCGGAGCCGACCCATAGCGACCCTGTACAGGGTTTCTGAGGGTGTAAATCCTTACAGCCTTAGAAATCCTTGACAGAGTTGCTGTGAGTCCGAACCATCTTGATAGCACACAACCACCATACATATATGCATATATTGGGCGGGGGCAGAGGAAGGCTTCAAATAGCACCTGGAAAAATGTCTTCATTCTATTTCCTGTGAGTTTTTTTAAGCTCCCTAGTATGTGTTATTTTGTATTCCTTTAGTAAAACTTTACTTGTATGGGATTTCAAAGAGATTGTCCGATGATTTCCACATTCTGTTGGGTCACCTCTCTTTGGAATGGGCACATATACGGATCTCTTCCAATTAGTTGACCAGATAGTTGTCTTATAGATTTCTTGGCAGAGATGAGTGAGTGCCTTCTGTGCCGCTTCACTTTCTTGAAAGATTT